GTTGTGTAACATCATAATAGTATACCAGACAGGATCTGAACCCTATCGTGCGTGTAGCACTTCTCCTACCACACCGCGATATGCGCGTGTGATTGTCCCTCTTTGGCGTCTTTAACGTGTGTGCATTTACGCTGTTGTTTTATAGTTTTTATATCATTAATATCATAGTAGGGGTGTAGTTTTATAACGTAAGCAAGATTCAGGCTGTAATCGGTACGCCGGTTGCCGCGTATAATAAAAAATATATTATAATACACACACGACACACTGACGACCTAAATCGTATTTTCTATATTATTATTATTATTATTATTTTGTGACCAAACATCGTGTGGTATCGGCCGACGCCCTGAAACCGTTTTTTCGAAGTTTGCTCGCTGCCTTTCACTGTGCGAAACCCAACAAAAGACCGACGACCGAGCAGGTGACTGTTATGCTCGCCCGACCACCACAGCCGCCGCCAGGTGCTCCGGCACCCGCTGCCGACAAAAGACTTGCATGCCGTGTTTTTTTCCGTACAATTACCGCGTTGTTGTTTTGGCAGCGGTTTTCGTATGTCGTATTCTCAATTTGGCGCCACAGTGGAACAAAAGAAAAATAAAGGTTTTTATCCTTCTTTTTTCCCTCCGTTCAATAAACGTTGTTTCTTCGACGCACTTTCTCTGATGTGTTATTAGAATATGTATCGCACTCTGATAGTGTTAATATTATAATTATATGTAAAGACTCCCCTTTCACCCTATCGTCGGTATTACTTTCTTCGGGTATAATGTTGATCATCGGATCGTGTCGATTACCAAGCGGATTATGCAATAAGAGACCACGCGGTACTTCAAAACGTATTATATTAAATATAGTATTGTGACGTTTTTGCTAACGTTTTGCTTCTCATAATAATTTGCCTCCGCAGCCGGTCGTGCGCACTGTGCATTGGTATATTATATGTATATATGTTATATCGATGAAATTGTCATTTATATTCACGGTCTGCACGTACGCCACTGCCGCCGTGACTACGACCACGTGTGTGCCGTGTACACGATTCGTCGTATCAGTAGCTTATAAACGAAGACCCCCAACTACTGTAAAATGTTACTCAATATTAAATGATAAATATGATATGGTGTTATGTATTTATGTATAATTTAATGGAGGTACCTATGTGTAATATGTGTATATATATTATGTTTATGGTAAAATTGTCTACGCATAGCCGCCGGCGCAAACGCGACGCGTAAAACCGGATTAACGCCATACTCACCATCATGTATGTGTACGAATTATCTCACTTTCGACCTACCACAACATTTACGCACGTCAAGGTTAAGGTTCGTATGGAGGTGGTGTCGCTATTGACTGTTGGTCACACTGTTTTCCGCCGCCGTCACGACCACCGAGCACACCGCCCCCTGCGTTCTTTCCTTTTCGGTTCAGAATAGTTGTTTTTTTATTCTACTCATCATAAATGGCAGTATGGCACATGGATATATTATGTTATTATAATATTGTCGTTGTTTTAGTTTGGTTTTACTCGACGCACCTCCAATTGTGTTGTACAGTACTGTGGAGAAAACAAAACAAAAATCCGGGTCAAAACTCAAACAAAAAATAATAAAACAAAATAAGAAAATTAATTGTTCGCTATCGCAATCGGTGTACCTATACCCGTAATGAGCTCAGTGCCTGGGTTAATTAGCAGTTTCAACATAATAATAATAGTGAAAAGTTGTTATTCCCTATCTATCAGAGCCTGCAGTCATGGCCTCATCAGATACTTCCGCCGATAGGCTGTTTTAAATGTATTTTTGTGGACCTAAAGGTTCTAGTTTTTAAATATTTTGTACTAATAATAAATCATACCTGATGTAAGTAAAAAATCGCAGACGTTTCCCAAACGAGTATACTTGACAATAGTTAAAATAATCTACTAATATTTATCCACTGGTCATTAGATTTATATTAGATCCTGGATAAAGATTATTCGAATGAAAAATGTTATTATTGATTTTAAGAATCGTCTTCGAGAAGTCTAAACGTATTGTAATGAATAAAAATAAAAGTTTTGCTAATTCCTGTTTTTTTTTTTGTTTTAAAAAATTAAAAAATATTTTTACTGATTCCCTTCAACAATTCGTGTTGTATTTTTTTAGGGGAAATTAATAATTTTATTTTGTCGGAATTGCGGTCGCCGACCCCAGTTGTCCACGAGAGCGCCCGGGCTCAAGGTCCTCCCCCAAGGCGAATCAATAATTCACGTTGTTCGTCCCTGTTGCTTGTATACGGATATGACTAACCACATTATAATAAAAAATAATATAAGGTACTCTCGCCTAAAATAAATGGTTTTTTTGAAAGCTATAAACTGCAGTGATATTGTTGGTTTTTGTTTATTGGGTAGGTGTATACACTAAAATATATTGGGAACCCACATGGTTAATTTTCAAAGAGAATGTGCGTTTATCTGCAGGTTAGGATTTTCCAAGTATCACGCGCCAGACAACAATAAAAAAGGGCAATAATAAAAAAGAATTAAAGACCAACGAGTTGTACAGCTAAATAATAATATATGCGGGGATAACCCCGCCAGTCCATGTTTTGTACATTGCAGCTGGACCATAGGAGCCAAAAGAATATAACGTCTAGACATTGCCAAGGTCGATTGTGCGTGTGTGTGTATATATTTTTCTTAGTTGTTGTTATAAAACGTATTAAAGAAGCCTTCAGATTTCGGACCACCCGCAGTAAAAAAAAAATTATTCTTTCGAAATTTAGGGCGATTGCTAATTGGTATTTATTACTGCCCACGTATTTTTACAGTTGGTCTTGAAGATTTAACATTTTTAAATGTTATTTCAATGTGAAAAACGTCAAATATCTACCTCGGTACTACACAGCAAGTGTGTAATTTTTAATTTAATTTTATATGTAGGTACTTGAGGTTATTGAAAAAATGTAAATTTATGATTAAAGCGATTTCTTAAGCAATGTTGAATGTTTAACACAAAATTGTTGATATAATAATCTAGTTTCGAAAATGTTTTTAATGCATTACATTAGCGTTTAATTTGTTATTCATACACATCATATTATTATTATATGTGTATTTGTATAAAATAATGCTCCTTTTAGTATATTATGTTCGGTTTCCTGAGAAACGACCACTATGTATGCACGACGTGCATTTTATGCCATTGTTTTACTGTTTTAGTCTTATGTATCTCATACGAGGGAGCAACAACTAGTTACCGTGGAAACGAAAGTGATCGACCCTTAGTATACTGTATTTCTCGCCCCCCGCATTTATGTGTTGTATAATAATGCGTTTATACTCGAACTACCCTCGCCAACCAAAAAATAATAATATGATTCGTAAGGTTTTTAGTCGGTAAATAAATATTAATGATAATAAATAGGTAGTACAGCAACTAAATCTTGTTTGTAAGACGTGCAAACAACCACGGTTATAGGGAGGTTTTCGAAAACTAAAAATTAGCAGTAGAGGGAAAAATAGCAATAAAACCGCTTAGTAAAAAATCCGCGGGGCGTGGATCCTTTTAAAATATTTTTAGTTAATAAACATGAAAGGATAGGGGGAAAATGCGCTCAGGGAACCACCTTTCAGAAGATGGGCCCCCCGTTGTCACGTTATTTCTCACAAGTCCCGCCATATTATGTGTTTATACATCGCGTCCTCACCACCACACAAATGTAAAAGCGGTCTCATTACCCTACAAATTGTTTGGTTCTCATACACGGTGGTACAAGTTTATGTATACAGTTTTTCTTAGTTGTATAGAAACCCATGTCAGTCATGTGTGTGTCCGAAAAATTATGTTAATCCTTATATAACGTTAATCGACGTATTAACAAAAGCAGTTTTTTTTTATTTCAACATTTTATTATTTCCTCTTGGATAGGTGAGCCATTTATATTTTTTGTTGCCCCTTGACAAACGTGTTCAAGCTATTGTTGTGCGGAGTAGAAAAATAACGGCAAAACCAACAAACGGCCCACCTTGAGTGATGTTCCTCGAGTCTTAAATTTTTGCTTTAATAGTTGTAATATATTCTTGGGCATCAGGAGTCTCAAGAATTCAATGTTTTATTTTGCTAAATAAATATCTGAAGTAAATAACAAATAAAACTGAACTTAAAAATACTTTTTACTTTTTATATTTAAATAAACATTTTGACCGCCTTCTGTGTCAAATGTACCGTAATATACTCATTTATAAACTTCAAAAGTTTTTTTATAATTATACGAAATAAAATTAGAAATATATTAAATTATACTACCTTTTAATACAATTTTGTTTCTAGATTTTTTTATAGTTATTTTTTTTTTTTTAATTATTTATTCCCTTAAATTTAAAATTACAAGCTATCTTGTCTTAAAATGATAGGTGTATATTTTTTTAAATGCTTTGTTTACAAGTTTAGTTTAAAGATAAAACGTTTTGGTATTTTTGTAACAACATCAGAAGTTTAACGGTCGGAAATGTTAATGGTTCATTGACCCTTGTGGCGGTGTGTAGTCACGAACGGAGTGTCAACACAAAAGCTATAGAATGCGCGTGCGCTGCATAGTTATGGCCAGTAGGTGGGTGGATGCAGGTGATAGCAGAGAGGTCAATGGCGGAAGTGTGCGTTTTCTCCCCGTGGGATCGTGCTGATGATGCTGCAGCGTCGGTAACCATGGTAACCCCACACCGGCTTAGTAGCTATCGGCCGTGATGACTCATAGTTTGAAAATTCAGAAATACACCAAACACATGAGCCTTTTATTATCCATTATTATTATATAAATATATATATAATTTAAACAAACAATATTAATTGAAAAAAGATGTTTATCATTGTTGTTGTTTTTAATTGTATCATGTGACAAATTTTACATAAGCGTAATAATAATTATATGGAAAAATATGATATTATATCCATTGATATTTTATTAATATAGTATAAAACTTTTATTAACCTGTCTATTTTAATGTGTTATAGATTTAAACCCGTTGGATTAAATGATGGCTTCTCCTACGCCGTCTCTAGATTCGTTATCCGGATTCAACACGTTCGGCCCGGACTACAATAGATCATTGTCATCTAGCCACTCACCAACCGACTCAGATAGCAGCGGTTCGGGCGTGTCCACAGGTGGCAGTGGAACAAGCAACAACACTGGTCCCCGCAAATGCCAGTTGTGCCATGAGATATTCTCAAACCCGCGAGTGCTCCCTTGTCTGCACACTTTCTGTCACGCCTGCTTAGAGAATAACCAGGACCAACCTGAGAAAATCACGTGCCCCAACTGTCACCAGGAGTGTATCCTTTCAAACCGCGGAATATCCGGACTGTTGCCAGACTTTACCGTAAACGGTTCGATCGAGGTGAACCCTGACAAGTTTGCGGGAGTGTGCAAAGGCTGCAAGAATCTCAACACAAACGTTGTGGCATACTGTTACGACTGTCAGCAAACGCTGTGCGCAAACTGCATGATGGCCCATCAATTCATGAATTGTTTCGAAGACCACCGTCTGCACGGTCTGACGTTTGAGAACGGCGATGACACTAAGAATGCGTTCATACCGACTAGCGTGGGCGACCGCGTGGTGTTCTGCTCTCGTCACAAGAACGAGTCGCTCAAATACTTTTGCCGCACGTGCAACGTGCCCGTGTGCAAGGAGTGCACGCTCAGCGATCATCAGTTCAGCATGCATGACGTGGAGCACCTGAGCGACATTGGCGTCAAGCTACTGGACATACTCAACGGAACGGTACAGGAGAGCAAGGTCAAGGCGACCGACATCCGCAACATGGTCAAGAACATCGAACACACATCCAACAAGCTGCAGGTTCAGTATCACAAAGCACAGAACGAAATCAACGAGACGTTTGCGTTTTACCGGTCCATGCTCGAGGAGCGCAAACAGGAGCTGCTGAAGGAGGTGGAGAGCGTGTACAGCGCCAAGCAGTTGACGCTTAATGAGGCGTCGCAGAAGGGTTTGGAAGTGGTGGACAAGATATACCAGACGGGTGAGTTCGTTGACCGTCTGACCAAAAACGCCAATGTGGTCGAGTGCTTGCTGTTCAAGAAACTTCTGGACTCCAAGTTACAGTCGTTGATGAGCTACGAACCCGATAACAACGTGCAGAACATCTGCGATCTAGAATTCGTATCCAACTATCAGGCCATACAGGTGGGCGTGCGGAACACGTTCGGGTACGTGCGGTCCAGCACCGAGCTGGGAGTGATCGGGCCAGGCAAACAGCCGCCGATCGCCCGTCCGACAAACGGTTCGTTGATGAACGGAAATTCGGCAATCATCACCAACGGTTGCATGAACGGCGGCGGGCCCACGGACTTGCTGCAACAGCACAACGGCGGCAACTGCACCAACGGTGGAGGCGGCAACGGAGGCATCATCGAACGTCCTTACTCCAACGGACTGACGTCCACTAGCCCGCTGTCGTCCGGCCAGTACGACACCAACAACATACTTTCCAAACGGTTTAACAGCGTCAACAGCTTGGGACCGTTCTCGGCCAGCTCGATCGGTGACTTGAACTTGAACGCCATCGGCAACATGAACGGCATCAACGGCATGGGCGGCGGCAACGGCGGTAACGGCGGCGGCGGCGGTGGAGGTGGCATGAACAGCATCAACCCGTACGAGAAGTGGTCCAACGGCGGTAGCGGTGACATATTCCAAAACGGCAGCTCCGACTTCCCGCTGACCATCGACAACAACGACTCCATACTGGACCTGTCCAGCAAGCTGTTCACCGCGTCCATATTCCCGCCAAAGTCGCAAATCAAGCGTCACAAAATGATCTACCACTGCAAGTTCGGCGAGTTCGGCGCCATGGAGGGCCAGTTCACCGAGCCCAGCGGCGTGGCGGTGAACGCGCAGAACGACATCATCGTGGCGGACACCAACAACCACCGGATCCAGATATTCGACAAGGAGGGCCGGTTCAAGTTCCAGTTCGGCGAGTGCGGCAAACGGGACGGGCAGCTGCTGTACCCGAACCGCGTGGCCGTGGTCAAGCCGTCCGGCGACATAATCGTCACCGAGCGGTCGCCCACGCACCAGATCCAGATCTACAACCAGTACGGACAGTTCGTCCGCAAGTTCGGCGCCAACATACTGCAGCACCCGCGCGGCATCACCGTCGACAACAAGGGCCGCATCGTGGTGGTCGAGTGCAAAGTGATGCGCGTCATCATCTTCGACCAGGCCGGCAACGTGCTGGTCAAGTTCGGGTGCTCCAAGCACCTGGAGTTCCCCAACGGCGTGGTGGTCAACGACAAACAGGAGATATTCATATCCGACAACCGGGCACACTGCGTCAAAGTGTTCAACTACGAGGGCCAGTATTTGCGGCAGATCGGCAGCCAGGGCATCACCAACTATCCGATCGGCGTGGGCATAAACGCCTCGGGCGAGATACTCATCGCCGACAACCACAACAATTTCAATCTGACCATATTCACGCAGGAGGGCCAGCTGGTGTCCGCCCTCGAGTCCAAGGTCAAGCACGCCCAGTGCTTCGACGTCGCCCTCATGGACGACGGTTCCGTCGTGCTGGCCAGCAAGGACTATCGGCTGTACATCTACCGTTACATTCAAATACCTCCGATGTTAATGTAGATCTCATTATTAAGCATTCCTAAAAATTAAATCGAATCGAGTCGCCATGAAAAAAAAAAAAAATGTCAACAGTATTTTTTTTTTACTTTGTTAAAAAAAAGATCTGTTTACGTTTTTTTTCTTTTCTTCTCCCCCACCCAAACTTAAAAAAAAAGTTGTTCGCTCTCTTTGTGTCCACTGCTCATCACACATTATTTTGTTATGCAAAAAAAAAAAAAAAGAATGTCGCAGGTTTGTGCGCATTTATTATATAAATACATATACATATATTATCATTATGTCCTGAGCGTTTAATGCCTGTCAGGAGTACAGTTGCATAATTATGTTTTTATTAATTGAGTAAATTATTATTGTTTCATTTTAGCAAATTCACAGTGTAAACCTGTTACATTTTGAGTACTTAAACCCACAAAAAATATATATACCAGTTAAAAACAAAAAAAAAAACAAAAAAAAACCATCAACAGTACATGTTTGTTTTATTATGATTTTTTTTTTTTGTGTTTTTTACCTCTAACTTTTAACGTTTTTAATATTTTAACTTCGCGGGGTTTTTATTCTTTGGATGTTTTTTTTAAATACATATTTTATTGTAACCAGGTTAGATTGAAATTCTGAGACTTGTAATTTGTAACTTAAGGACTGTTATTTTGTATTATTATTATGTGAATTAATTATTATTAAACATAACTTTTAAAAAGTAGTTGATGAAAAAAAAAATAATTAGGCTAGCGAGTGTCTTTGTCCTCTTTAGTGCGCGAAACTTACTTATTTTTGTTATTATTTTTGTATTCATTAAAATGTACTGAAATCCCAGGATAGTTTTCTTACCAACATGCCTTTAAACTAAATTATATTTTTTAATTTTGTTTAATTGTTTTAATTTTAATATTTTTGTTATTACATCAAAGTATCTGCTCTGATTTGTTGAAGCGTTCCTTTCCATGGGACTTTGCTAGTCAAATTTCGGATTCCGAGTCTCCTATTTTTTTTTCGCCACTTAATGTATGGATACTCGCACCATATTTTTTTTAACCTGTATTATTTGAGATAAAATACCTATACCTAAAAATATATTATTTAAGTTGTTTATCTTTTATTTTTCGTTCATTTCTATATATTCGAACTCAAAAAATATTTTAGTACGTGTACAGGTTTACAATATTTTTTGTCCTAATTATACATTTATTATACATAATTACTTATACTAGAATTATATTAATTACTAAATCAATTTTTGTGTAAGTGTGTATTTCTCAAATTTTGCGTTGTTATTTTATATTAATAATCAAGCGTTGAAAACGAAATCTTAATTATAAAACGTACAAACAAAAAGTACTAAATCAACAAAAATTTATAATTTTTTAATTGGGAGTAATAATTGTTATAGTGGGATTGCTCACTAGTTTTTGTTTTTCTTTGTCTAAGTAGTTATTGGATATTATTATTGTTGAGTTTAATTTTAGTTAATTTTCATCTTTTTATATATAAAAAAAGTATAATGTGCGGTATTCCATTAGACTTTTTATTCTTAATTGATTTTTTGTACTTTCGTATTCTTATAGTTAAGGATAATAGTGTCTTCACAGTATTTAATTTTTTTCTTAATTTTTTTTTTATGCACCAAGAAATAAAATTAATATGATAATGTAGCTTTAATGTAGTGTTTGTGTTTGTGTTTTACGCGTTTATTATTATTATTATTATTATTATTATTATTATTATTTTTTATTATTATTATTATTATTATTATTATTATTATTATTTTTGCATTTTTAATGATATTTTCGAATTTATTATTATTTATTATTGACGATTATAATATTAATTAATAATGAGGCATTTAGTTAGCTAATAATAGCTTTGTAAACTTGCGTTTGTCTCTCCATTTAAGTTACGTGTTTAGTTGCTAAAGTTCATGTTATCTCGATTTGAAAACAAGTTAAAATAGAAAACGTAATAAGTAATGTCCTCCTCATCATCGTAATATAAGTTAAACAATATGAATACTATCAAATATTATGTTTATCAATGAATAATAACACTTTATATTATTGTCTCCTATAATTATTTTTATACGGCAACGCGCATTTTTTGTTTTATTTATTTCTTATTATTTATTTTTATTTTTTTTTTTTTTTTTTTGTTTAAAGATAATTAAAACTTGTTATACATTTTTTTTAATATAATTTTTATAATACATGATAATTAATTTCGAAAATATATTTCCAAATATTTTATTTTTTTACTTTCCAAGCGACATCGCTTTCCAATCAGTAACATAATATTACTATATTTATATAACATGTAAGTTCTTCCAAACGTCCTACTAACATTTTTATTACTTCCTTGTGTGTTTTGTACCTATATAAGTTTTTTATGTGCTCATACGTACATATACATTCCACAATTATTTTATTTTTCTTACATCTAAGGTTTAAAAAAAAAAAAACAAAAAAAAATATTTTATCTAGTCAGTGGTTTTTTGTGTGTGGTTTTGAATTATTTTTATTTATATTTTTTCTTTGAGTAGATTTTATTCGCTTGACATTAGATGATATTATTACCTAAGTTAATATATCCCTTACGTTTGTATGATATATTTTATATTTCGGTTTAGTTTTTAATTTTATAAATTTTATTCCGTAGTTATTAAAAACGTCGCACACTTACGACATATTTTATAATAATAAAAATATGATAATGACATCGGTACGTCGTGCGTGTACGACGAAAACAAACAAACCGTGCCTTTTCATATTGGTAATAATCATTCTTAGTAGCGTAAGGTTAGTGTTCGCCCCGCCCGTATTTGTACACTGGTTTCACGTTTCCTATGTATCGTTTATTAAATATAATATGTCCATATAAAGTCGTCTTTGGAACAGTATACTATTGAAGTATACGACGAATGGCTTATATTATATTATTATAGTTGTAATAGTGCATTTTTTTTTTTTTATCGTATATTATATTATATTATTTATTATTATTATTATTACTACTAATACTATTATTATTATTATTATTATTATTATTATTATTATTGATATTTTAGACTTGTAGACAACGTGTATTTTAATAATATTTATAAATATTATTATTTATTACTATCTAATAATGATCGTGCCAACGTAACTTTTATAGCAATAGAATAATAAATGTAAAAATATTACATAGGAAAAATGAGGAAAAATCCCCCCACCCCTGTTTAGATTTACTGTGTTATTATTACAATTATCATTATCGCCATCTAGATGACGTGTAAATTGAATTTTTGTTCGTTTTCATTAATCACCATTCACCACAGGATGGTGGAATCGTTTCCAATTTGTTATGGTAACAAACACTAATATTCAAGTATAATATAATAAAGTTTTCCGAACTCAGAACAATTTAATCAGGGTGCGTATTTTTCGACCGTGTTAAGTTTTGTTTGACATAATATTTACGATTGATTATATTTTATATATTTTATTATTTTAGATTACTTATGATAACAAATAACTACTTTCGGTTAATTCTGCTATTCAGTTATATTTCCCCCACCACCACTACTACCAATAATATTTAATGTTTTGTTGATCATGTGCCATTATTATTTCTATTATTATTATTATTATTATTATAATTATTATTATTTTTGTTGTACCATGATAATTAGTGCGATTATCCGCCCAAAATCAACGGGCACACGCACAAATCCTGCACGGTGTTCGCGACAGACGTTTTTAACTTTCCCCTCCCTATGGAAGGTGCCACACACCTACCCACTTAATCTTTTGTATGTTTCGACCGCGATATGGATTAGTTCATATGCAGCATCGTCGTAGTATATTATTGCCAACATTATTACCTCGCTATAAATGTTTTAGGTAAAATGTATTGCACATAATATTTTAAAAGTCTTTTTTAACCGTATTCTTAAAATAATAATAATAATAATTAAAAAAAAAACCCATGTCAATTATTGTGTAGGAGGTAGCTGTTTCGCGTTTGCGTTTCACAACTATGTGTTATTAAATTATATGTTTTATCACGTTTAAAACTCGATATCGAACACTTGCCTTCCTTAACATTTCACCACCGATTAATGATCGATTATCACACACACACACACACACACACACACATGGATAGATCATTGCGGTTAATATGATACGTATAACACGTTAACATAATAATATACTTAATTGAGATCGTCTACAAATTAAAAAAATATTATTTTCTTCTCTTACGAAATTGTAGTGAGTAGGCGTGTCTCCATTATAAATATGCATATAGGTATATAGTCAACCATCGTCTGCTTCGCGTTGGGGATCGTTGTCGCGGGGCCAATAATAACATAATATAATATTAAAAATTATACCTTTCCGTGTATAGGACAATACATAATATACAATCGTTAAATGTGTTAACAGTATAATACTATCAGGGCATCTAAATTACTATAATAAATTAATATAATACTTCAAAATAATACGTATAATACGTTAGAGAGGATAGATAAATCGATGTATTATTATATATTATATATTCTATATTTCGTATTGCATACCTATATATTATAATAATATTTCACCGTCGTTGACGTGTATATTTTTATTATCACTTCATAGTTTAGGGGTGTTGTAGTACCTATATTGTGTCGGCCAAGCTTATGATAATCAAATATGAATTATGTGGCAAAGCACCAAAAAATTTGAATAAATTAACTAAAATTAATAATAATAACCGTTAATAAAATTTAGCGTTACAATTTTCTGTATTGGTCTTCTCCGGTGTCGGGTCTTCAATACTACGATTTATATAACGCATGTGCCACATCAGGGTCCAACTCCATCCCATTTGGGTACCTTTACATTATTTAATAATATAAATACGCGCATATTATATTATTATGACAATAATTGTAATATACCATATGTGCATTTCTATGTTAACATATTTCGTGTCAATTCTTAATGCGTACAATTTTTATTTCTCTATTTTTTTCGTTACTTATTTATTATCATTATCACTACTATCATTATTCATTATTATTATTATTATGTTTTATAAAATATTATTGTGTTATTACGGTACGTACCTATTTAGATGAAAAAAATGTGTCCACTTATCTAGTCATACTTACCTAGTTGAAACGATCGTAAAAACCGCTGCTTCAATGGTGGTCGATAGGTATTTGATGATATATATAGGATAAAAACGTATGTCAATTTTATACATATATATTATGGAAGTTGAAT